CTGACACTAGATAAATAAAATTGCATTGTATTTCAAATTTTGTGTTTATAAGTGAGGGTAACATACCATGAGAAAACATAGACGGAAATTGTTTTGACCTTGGTCTATGAATTTGTGGAGAGGAAGACTTTCAGGAAATGATCCAGAAGGACGTGAATACTGATTTTTTTGGGGGGGAAGCTGGAGGAGTCCAATAGGAGAAGGGCTTCAGGAGAGCCCAGCTGACAGTAGTTTTGTTGTCTGAACAGTGCTTTCAACATTAAATTCAACCACAGCTGGTTGAAGCTTCAGCAGTTTACCAGTTGTAGACTTAATCCTCCGGTTTACGGAAGGGTGAGGGAAGTGAAGTGGTGAGGTGCAGCTGAGATCAGATTGGCCCTGTCATAGGTCTGCAATTAAAATACAAATGCAGAATGACACAAACTAGCTAATGTAACTCTTGGCGCTACACCCCCCACCCCCCATTTAGTATTATTTGTTGCTTTTTGAACATGGGGCTTCCTAAGGGATAGTCAGCCTCCCTTTCTTTAAAAAGAGTTAGTTTAATAGGTTTACTAGTTAAATCTGTCATGTTCTGCAGCTTCTTGAGTGTTTCTGAGCTATGGTTCTTCTCTTGCTTAAAAAAACGTTATTTTAGCATTTCTCCTTGTCAAGACAAAATGCGGTAACTCAGCTGTTTTGTCCTTTGATTGTAGAGACTTCCTTATTTGCATTGCCTGAGTTTGAGAAAGAACAGTCTCCGCCATACGTAAACAGGTTCACTTTGGTATTATGTGTCTAGTCAACAAAGGCTGTAGCAGCTGTATCCTGTAAAGGATGTTACATCTCTTTGTCAATATAATCTTGTCTTTAGAAGCTAATCAAGGAAACCAGATGAAATTCCATAAAGTTGCCACAATTTTGCTCTTGCACCACGTAGCGGATACATACATTGCTTTTGGTTTTCTATTTCTCTAAGTACAGTGAGCAGCAATCACAATTTCTCTGGATTTTGTACTTGGATGTACTTGGACTATCACATTTATGATTCACTTATCAGAAGATCAAATAGTGAATGATAAATTATTGATCAAGTGTAAGATGAAAGACCAAATTACTCATATACTTAAATTAATATAAAAGCCCTGGAAGTAAAATAAAAATACGTTGTTCCTAATATACATATCACTTTCCCAAGCATCTACATACTTTCAGAATCCTTTATAAAAGGGAGGCCTCCAAAATTAGCAGCCAGAGCAAGATGATATTGCATAGGAACAATAAGAGCTTAGCACAGACGTGTACTATCAAAGGTGTTTCAGATATCGCCGTACACAGCACATGGCCATGCAGTCTAATTAGGGTACTAATGAAAAGACTGTAAAATTGGAGATTATATCTATCCAGTTGGTCAGAGTCATCTTATATACTTGGGATCTTACAAAAGGAACATCGTAGTGATTTTAAAATAAGCATGTTCAGTCACTTCTCCTTACAGAAGTTCCATTAGATAGAATGGAATTAATTCAACCAATTCTCAGACCTGCTATGTAATGATACAATGATGGTTTGAAAGAGAAGGCTAAACTTGAAATAAAAAATAAAGTAAAATAATTCTGGCCTCTTCAGCTGGTGAAGTAGAAGCTTTGGGAAGTGCAGATAAAGGTTTTTTTCCTGTATATTTTGGCACTGTTAAATGGATCATAAGGTATTTGTGTACAACTGGATCTGAGAGCAAAATAAAAAATAACATTGCTTACTTAGGATTTGACTGCTGAGTAGAAATATACAGACTTATTTGTACAAACTGTACATGGATGATGATTAAAAGTATGAAGAGAGGGTAATGGTCAGGGTGTGGTATCTTAAATGTGTAATACAAAAAAATTAAAAAATCGAACCAGAAAGACAGGTGAAGTTGGTGTAGCAGAAATCTGCTACTTTTAGGACAAGTTCACTTTTCTTAACAGACTACTTATTCACACGAACTTCCCATGTAGAGATGAATGTTTCTTTGACATGAAATTATAAAACTTCTTTAACTGTTTTGCAAATCGCTATAATTCCTGTGCTTTCTGAGAATACTACTAGCCTGGTATAATGAGTTTAAGAATAACTATGTATTGAGCATACAGCTTTCAAATCTACCATTAATGAAATGTGTGTTCGGTAATTGCATCCGCTTCAGTGGCTTGTATAAAGATTTTGGTAAGAGACAAGGATTTCGAACAAAGATTCAGAGATGTGTGCAAGTGAAGTATTGGAAATCTGATAACATTAAAACAATGGTTAGCTTCAAGAAACGTCCTGAAAGATCACCACTTCAGCAAACATTCAGGATTAAAGTGCAATTAATCTTTGTGGTTCGACAATAAAATCTTTATTCACATTACTTCAAAGTCTTCTTTTGCCTATAACTGAATTCCAGAAGCAGATGTCAGTGCATACATACTGAGCTTTTCTTAAAGGGCCTTTGCATTCTTTGAAAGATAGCAATGGTTTGTGAGTTAAGTGGCCATATTAAATCCAGAAAGGCAAAATGTAAGGTTCTGGAGACAAAATATTCAGCTCATATATCACTCAATTTATTTCAAGCAATTAAAAATCAAAAAGTAATTTAATTCAATCCTTACAGGAAACACAAGTGTCAGATATCTGATGAACTCATTTCCTTGTCTCATGCCTACCTCTTTACAGCTTCAGCTTTCCCACATCAAAGAAGAGCTCTTGGCGTGTGCTGAGGCTCAGGATGGAAATAGAAAGAACCTGAACTTCTGAAGGAGGTTCTCAAGTAAAATACTATTTACAGGAATTTCAGCTAGCTCAAGTTCCAGGGAAGAGAAGCTGCCCCTATCACTCCTTTAATCATCCTTTCTTCAGTCAGATCATATCAGCCTTTCTTAAGTCAGATCAGTTCTCTACAAGCTGTTTTATACATTGGATTTAATTAAGGTAGACTTCTTTATTTAATGTAGAGTTCTTACATAGGCGGCCTGCTTAGCAGGTGAACAGCTGTATTGTCTAGTTAGTTCAGATTTCTAGAGGATTTAAATGTTTTTATATCCATCTCCCCAGGTTTACCATATATCATCATACAATAAAAAGAAATGCAGAGAAATGGCACTAGTTAAAGTTGAAGTGAATACCTGTTTCCAGTTACTTCATTCTCCTTTTTGCTGGATTCAGTGAGACAATGACTGAACACTTGGAAGCAGAAATATCAGATTAATTTTTGAAACAGAAATTAAACCTCCTTTTTTTTTTTTCTTTGTAGTTTCTTTCAGAAAGTATAAGAGTAGACCACTGTTGGGAGAGCAGTGAGTGAGGAGAAACTGCAGAGTTTTAGTACACTTAAAATAAACTTGGAAAAATGTTATGTTCTGAATGGTTCTTAACACATGATGCCAGGTCTGAGTTTTCAATAGGCAGATGTGTGCGATGGCTTTACTTTGCCCCTTTGAATTGTGCTTGTGTGTATAAAAAAACTACACAGGCACACACATATAGTATATATGAATTATATATTAATTGGAGCAATTCTGTGGATGAAATTATATCCTCCATTTTTAGAGGGGGAGGTGCACAAAAGATTTTAGAGGAGAAAAGTTAAATGCCTGAGGGTAAGTGGACAAGCATTGTAGCAAGTCAGTGAGTGTTTTGTTTTGAAGTCTGTACCTTTACAACTAATGAAACACTGCACAACTCTCCACAAGGTGTTTAGATACCTTTCCTTAATCAGAGTGCCTTGCAAACTGAAAAGCATGAAGTAGTATTTCTAATAAGTAACCTCGTGCTTTTTTCTTCTGCAAAGGCAGTTTATTAGAATTCAAAATCCATAGAAAACAGGGAGCAACTTCTTCCCTCCTACATAAACTGACATCTGAACGTTTAAATTGGAAAAGTACAAAAACTAGCAGAGAGAGAAAAAGCCTGCAAGCCCTTTGGAAGAAAATTCCACAGTTCCACCATGCATTGATTTATGTTGAATATAGCTGTAGTGTATGTCAGCAAATAGAAGATGGAAAAATGACTCAATAGAAGCAAGAGCAACCCAGAACACACAAAAGTCAAACACCTTATTTACATGCCCAAAGGTTTAGCAGATTGACTGCTGGATACCATTTTTCTACAGAAATACAAAAATATAAAAGGTAGTATTACATAAAAAAGCAAAAATGAAGAAACTTCAGTAGATCAGCTTTTCAACCGAATGCCTCTTGAGTGGATTGGATGTTGTGTGTTGGGGTAAAATTGGAATTGACTTGGTAAAGAACAAGAGAAAGTAGTGATCGTGAGACTCAGATTCTTCATTTAGGTTTGAATTTTAAAAGGCAGAGAAGAATGTGCTTTGAGTTTCGAAATAGGTAATGGCTGTATCTACACTGCTCAGTACAACAAACCTAGTCTCTATGATTGGTAAAGACCAGGCCAGGTTGGGAAGGGCTGTCACTGTAATAGTGAAAGATCATCTGCTTCCCAGTGAATACATACCATGATTACATTTTTATTATGAACATATAATTGACTCATTCTAATGTTACCTCCCATTTTACAATAACATGTGTTTAGACCTGAGGTAGGAAAATTCCTGTTATGACATTCTGATCAAGAACTTCTTAAATGGTGTCTGAGTAATGATGGTGTGAGGTGAGGTAGTGTGAGCGGAGGATCTGAGGATCCTCTGTGAGACAGAGGATCTGAGACACATTTTGTGTGTGAGCACAGACTCATCTGCAGGGAGGTACTTAGATGTGTGGGTTTAGAGAATGTCCAGGTGGAAGAGATGAAAAGTTAAACAGGATGAGGATAATGGAGCAGATATTTTGTTGACATGAGAAAGAGAAGGAAATACTTTAGAACGCTTGAAGTTCTCTTATGTTAGACCCTACATCTTCTGTGTTTTGCCATTTACAGCTGTTGTACCTTAATACCTGTATGTATATAAAAACCAAAAACAAACAATCAAAACCGTACGGAAAAGTATCAGGGAATAAAACTATGGGGTTTTTTTATTTCAACAGAATGCTGAAATTTCGGTATTTGAAGTGAACATCCGTTTTGTCGGTGGATTACTTTCAGCTTACTATCTTTCAGGAGAAGAGGTAAGATATTTCCATGTGGCTTTTCTGAAATATCATCATCTAGATAAGTAGTTAACTTTTAGTTTAATAATTTTATTTATCAGAATTAAACTTGTTTAGAACTTTGAAAACATCTTGTACAGCAGAGACCTGTCCAATGGATTTTCTTGCTTCTATTACTGTTGCTTTGTGTAAGTCTTAAAGTGTTAAATGAATTTTTTTTTTCCTGAGTTGAAACCATACCCAGTACATTCTTACTGGGCTTCGTGCTGGAGTGTGTAATTATGGAGTTCCTGTGCCGTGGTAGTGGTACATTTGGTGTATCAGGTACCTGCTTCACAAATTGGTTGAAGCATATTCTTTAACTCCTCTAAACTATACTTCCGTTGGCCTTCCTGAAGCTGAAGCTTCAACTCACATGGAAAAGGTATTTTAAGAATGAAAGGATAACTGGTAAACCTATACATGTGAATGTCTTTAAAGCATAAATATCCCATTAATCTCTATTGCCGATCATGGTTTCTGGAGAGGATGAAGAAACAATTTCATCTAAGAGCTTTGACTAATGCAATTATTTCTGTAATATATTTAGAGAAGGCTATACTAAATCACAGGTACTGTGATATTTTAAATTTTTAGCTTGGCACTTGTGAAGTATCTAATCTTACTAGTTTAAACTCTTGTTCCTGTCTCTGGATTATAGTAGTATTTTATTGTATGATTAATGCAATTTAATACTCTTTAACTGTAAGTTGAATTTATCATTGGATTTCTTTAAATCCAAAGCAATTACTGGTGGAAACTCTACAAAACCCTAAAGATGTATAATTTTTTTCATATGTAAATTTCCCAACTACTGATAAAGCTCTATTTTGAACCTGTCACTTTAAATTAACTTAATTCTGTGGTGTGCTCGATGCTTTTTGTTAAAATTTATCATTCTGTTAAAGTTGTCTTAGCGGGTATGATTGGGTCGTGTACCCGACAAAGCAGTTACAAGGACACAATGTTTCTCTGACACTTTATGTTTTAAGTAGACTTCCCTATTTATTTCCCATGGTCCTGTCCTGAGTGTAGGTGGCATTGCAAAGACATTAATGTTTTAAAATACACAGTTTTTTGTATTTTAACTGTCTTATTTTCTGGAGAAAAAAATGCACTTAAACCCATTTAAAATTCACACTTAGCAGTAGTGAAAAAAATTGAGAGATGCTTGGTAGCTGGCTTCTTCAGCTTTACTAAATATTGTTTTACTTAATGTTTATCTCCGACTCTTGAAGGAAATCACTTGTCCTCCTACAGTAACTCAGCAACCAGAAAAAAGCGTATTCAAGGATGAATAGAATTGAAAGCTCTTCCTTCTGCGATTAAATAGTTGTATCTTTCACTGCAGATCTACTTCTCTCAAACAGGAATGAACTTTTCCAGTATAACCTATTGCTACATTTTAATTAACCGGTTCTGACAGAAGCAGAGGATGCTTCTTGGCAGACAAGGAGCTGATAGAGGACTGCATGTGAGTCTTTACGTCAAGCGGCAGTTGTCTGCCAAGAAATGCCTGAACCTTTTGTCAGTGCTGGTGATTTCATGTATATATGTTGATGGTTTATATCTTGTGCCTGTTAATGTACAGGCTCACTTTCAATCAGTGCATATAGTTTCTCCTAAATAACACCCAGTCATTGCTTCTCAACCATTCCTTCGCCTTTAGAGAGGCAGTTTTACCACCACCTCTTGGACTAGATTGATAGCAACACTGGTGGTCAAATAAAACTCTGTTGTACAAATGAAATGAGGAAATATTTTAAAAAAGGTGTTTCACACAATGCATAATTAAATGGAACTCTTTGCAGTGGAATATTAGTGATATTGGATGCTAACGTCCGTTCGAAAAATGGATGGACTCATTAATGAAAATAAAATGGGCCCCTACACGCAAAGGTGATATGTATGATTAAGGAGGGTCCTGAGCTCTTGCAGGCTGGGAAAGACACCATCCATGCTTGCCACTGGTATTCATAGTCTTTGATAGACATCTGCTGTCCAAGACAGAATGATGTTCCTAAACTCACAGTTGTTCTAGTGGCTTAGAGAGTGCAACTCAGCATGCTCTGCCTTTATCAGACTGGGGGAAACTTCCCCATTTGTCTCCCGAACCCAAGACATTGAAGCAATAGCCAGCCGCTGCCTATGGGAGGAGCGGGATGCGGCCATTCTGAGGACAGAGCCCCCACGCAGCAGTGTGAGGTTTCCCACGTTGCACAGGTCTGTCCTTCACTGGTGCTGCTGACAGGTGTGGAAAGGACTGAGGTCCCCAGAGGCTGGCTGCCACCACAGAAAATATGTCTTTAATCATCCTTTAGTGCATTATATTAGCGGGCATTCCTAAGGAGGTGGAACAACCTGTATGCAGGCTGTTTGGAGGATTAAGCTTTCTCAGGTAAAAGCTCATTTTATTCTTTATCAGATGAACTATTTAAAAATCTTATATTTGCTGTACACACTTATCAATATCCTAATTAAAGAAAGCTGTATTTCAGTAAAAGGAGTGACGGAAATAATTATTGTTTGTACTTTTGAATTACATTTCCATGGGTAATGATCCAAAGCTGCAACATATTGTATGTTCCATAATCATTTGTAATTCTAACTAATCATGATTAAAGAATATCCTATCAAACTGAGTAGTTCCTAACACATCCTGCCCACAAAATAGTTCATTTAGATAAAGGCACCAATGTGAATAATTTTAAAAATGAACAAGTTGAATACTTTGCCTCTTGATAACTGTGCGTGGTGCTTACTTGCAAGTAGAGCTATGAGATGCATTATATTAAACTTCCTAGAATTTCTGCCTTACTAGAATTAATATAAAATGCCTGAAAGTGCTAGAACAGTGTCATACACTTTGTCACTTTTTTTTTACTTTTTTTTTTTACTTTATGATTGCTATTTAAACCCAAGCTAGAAAGAATTCCAGTCAAATTTCAAACTTCATTTGTAAAACAGGTACAAATACCAGAAAATTTGACTGCAAGGTAAGTAACTTTTTAAGGACTGCTCTCTTTTCTTTTCCTTAAAGTCCCTCATAGTAATATTACATGTGAATGCTTCCATGGTATTTTTCCATGAGTCAGTGGCTATCAGGGATTATTAAAAATAAACCTGGCTCCTTTAAAGCAGTGCTAGTATTGATCTTCTGTTTGTTTGCTTATTTGTATGAAAGCATCTGGAGGAGCCTGTAATATGGTAAGTTTAAACCATTGAAACAGTACAGATTTATTTGCAAACTTTCTTGATTGTTTTGTTTAAATTAAACCTAAATTCATTAGTAGACGTGATTCCTCTTCTAAGCAACTTGGTGTGTGACCTTTTTTGTTTTTGTACTGGAAAATAAGATGTCTAGTAAGGAAGAGATTTGTTTTACAAATGCTTTGTGGTACTTACTAGTCTGATATAAAATTCTGGTATACCAAGGGTCAGGGGTATTGCATGCAACAAGATCCCCTGTTCTGCAGACCCCGATATTTTTTTTCCTCTTGCTTAAAGCACATTTCCAAATGTAGTCGTATAAGGAGATAATTTGTTAAATTTTGGAGGAGGACAACACTGTCCTCTAACAGCAGCTAAGACCTTTCTTGGAATTCATGGAGATGACAAACATTATTTCTGAGCACTGTAATCTTCACTGTTGGGAATAACTGATACTGGTGCTGAAAGTCATGGTAAGTGTATGGCACTGCTTGTAGAGAATATACAAGCCTAAAGACTGATCTGACTAGCTCTTCCGGTGTATTGATAGCTGGTTCTTATAGGTACTGCTAAAGCTGTGTAAGAAGGGGACTGTTTTACTTGAAGGCTGGTTCCACAGTCGGGGAATACATTGTACAGGCAGAAACAGAAGGAGCTTTTAATAGTTGCTGTTTGTATGAGTAGCAAAAAAGTAGATCCAAAATGCTCTGAAGCAAATAAGGAGCACGTGAGTTTCAGATCCAGCTGGTAAGTTCCAGATTCCTTTGAAGCTTTTCCATTTTTTGAATGGGATGAGTATTTTTTTTTCTGCCAGAGTTAAAATATTTTGGATTCAGCAGTTGTTCTTTCTGCATAAGATAACCTTCTCTTTTCTAGGACTAAAGTTAGTTATCTTCACTAGAGGAAGACAAAATAAAGTTGATAATGATGTTCGTATTGCCATTTCTCCATTTGTCTCCATGGCATGAAGCAGAAATGTGACAAATTAATTTTTTTTTTTTAAACACTCTGGCAGTATATCCTGTTTGAAGGAACACAAATTTATCCTGATCAGGATGAAAGAATAAAAAAACCACAACAAACTGTTCTTCCTGATGATAAATGTTGGACTTCCTGAGTTTCATCTATTACTCTTTACCAACTGTTAATTAGAAGTAAAAAAGAAAAAAAGGGGGAAAAAAAAGTGATGACATTATCGCCTAATTAGTTTATATCTGCCACTGTTCAACCTCACTTGCTGATCTTAGCCTCCTGTCTGACTTCAGACCTAATCGTTGCCCATGTAAAACAACCATCCATCAGTGATGGTAGTGCTGTCTTATTAATGAGGAGCAGACATGAAATAATGATGCTCTAGATGCTATTGATCTAGAGCTGCCTTTGCCAGGCTGACCACAAAACATTGCTGATTTCATGTAGTGCTAAGACATTCTTCAGAATTTAGCTGAAGCTATTTTTATCTGGCTCTCCCTCTCTTGTAGAGGTCTCCCTTCATAGAGAATACTTAAATTCCATAAGAACAAAAAAAAATATAATTCATCATTTAGCAATCTTGACTAGCAGGAGGATGAAGTTTGTCACCTATACAAAGGTATTGGCCTATTTCTGCAAATCAGGAATGTAAGTTCTGGTATAGATGCCTTGGGGATCTTATCTCACCAGTGTGAGAATTGACCGCATGTTTTATCTCCCACTTCCTTTCACTTAACTTGATGCTAATTAACAAGAGGACTTTTCCTTTTATGTCTTGGAAGCTTGATTTCTAGTGC